ATTGGGGGAGGGGTTGTCACTTCGAGGGGTAAAAAGTGTAACTATTGCACTGTGTTGTACAGCTGAAACTAATTCTAAAAAATGTGTATTTCATAATAAAAATAATTAAAAGAAAAAAAATAACATAAAATGCTTTCACCCTCAAAAACAAACAAACAAACAAAAAAACAAACGTCTTTTCAAAACTTCATTTCCATTCTCTAGGAATAGCACTTGTGCATTAATGCCACTTATATTTTATCTTTCCCAATAGAATATTCATCTATTTCTTCATTAATACTTTCTTAATCACTTTCTGAAGGAGAACTTTCTTGCTCAGTGTCAGAATTTTGGTTTCATTCTTCAACTTGATCTTCACCATCTGTGTCACTTTCATCTTCAAATTTAAGTTCATTTTCATCATTATCAGACTCCAGCAACATCTGTAGCAATATCTCAGCATCTTTTGAGTCATCTGGATTATAAAATCTTTGAGGTTGAGCCATTTTAGAAAAACCTACAAAGAAAAAATGTTACACTAAACAGGCGCAAAGAATCTGTCAGATTAATTAGAAAACACCTAATTACTAAGTTTCAATAATAAAACTATACTTAAAACAATCTCTTTCTGGAATGTCTGAAAGGGTAGTTGAGAAAATCTGTTGAGAAAATATAAAAATTATCTCAAATAGGTGCAACGAATCTGTGAGATTAAAGATGCCGCTATGAAATATGTCTTAACTGTACTAAGTTACAAATACGACGCGATGGGTTATGGTAGAGGGGGAAGATACGGAAGTGATGAGTCACAATATTTAAGTTAACTGTTAGATATTTGAAAATTTGTGTGCAATGAACCTGTGAGATCAGTTGCACTCAACGGAGAGTTAAATGAGGCAAGAATAAGACAGGTGTAGGCCCACACAAATTAGGGATTATAGCTTATAGGTCCTTCCCAACTGCCCAGGAAGCTAAGACCCTTTCAAGAGTCCTCCAAAACTATGGACTGGAAAAAATTCTCCCTCTGACAATGGGGGGAAAAAGGACAAAATAGGACAACTGGGCTCTGAATGGGGCACATGTCTTAGAGTTCATGATCATGAGTGAACCTTCATACTTCTCTGGGGTTCAAATGTCTACTACTGTTGTACTCATGTACTTGCTCCTGTAAGTCAAGAATTTCACATCAGGGTTTCTGAGTTGGTAACACCCTGGAGCAGCTGCGGATGCAAATAAAAATTGTCCCAGACAGTATATATCCACAATCCAGGTCCCCTAGAAATGGCACACAGTCCTGTTGAACACATGCTTACACTCCGAAAATGTAAAACATGTGAAACAGGCCATCATGAGTGAACTAGACATAAAAGTTTAACTATTGAAATTAAACACATCAGAATGCTGCTCTAGCAAAATCTTTAGCTATAGAAAGCCCCCAAAGTTGTGCCACTAGTCAAAGTCATCTGAGATAACCCAAATTCTGTAGGATATCATTTTAAAAGAGTTGTATGATCTTGGGAACATGAAAAGATGCAAGATTCCATCAGGTTCAAAGTTCTTGAGAATTTTTCCAAAAGACATTTCCATACTTTAGGATTTCATCAAAGGGTACTTAAAGAAAAAGGCAAAAACATATCTTAATAGCCAAAGATATGCAAAGTCCAATTCAGTCACTATCCTAGGTGGGACATGCAGACTACTCTAAGTTGGGAGATTTAGGTAATACAAGTACATTTAATTTGGACCTAAAGGACTGGGTTATGGAGCTACTTGTTGAGAACACTTTTCCCCTAACCCTGATGTTTCTTTTCTGGGTAGGGAATCATTTAGTGTACCTCTGGGCTTTTCTCTGCCCTACATTTTTCCCCCTGCCCTGTATTTACTCCCCTACAACCCCTGGAGGGTGGGGGTAGAGGAATAACTTGACTGGGAAATTTGGGGAAAAACTGGGCATGTCCTTCCTTTTGGTAGCTATCCATACAGACACATATTTTGTTCTCCTCCAGGGGCAGGGCCTCCTTAAGGATGTGTTTTGGGAGGCATGTCTGGCTAAATCTTGGCTCAAGTCTTGTTCTAATTTGGCCTCTGTTTTCTATTGGTTTAATGGGGTGTCTGGTATCCATTTTTACTGAGGTCATAAGAAACCACAGTTAGGGCTGGCCGAGTGGCTCGTTGGTTAAGAGTTGGCTTCGGAGCACGAGCGTCGAGCAGCAGGGCCACCAGTTCGGATCCCACATGGGCCAATGATGCTGCCCTCTACAGCTAAGGTTGTGAAAAACTGCTTGACCTGGAGCTGGGCTGCCGTGAGTCGCCGGCGACAGCATGGGCTACAGCCCCTGCTGCAGTGGACTGCTGTGAGCTACCGTGAGCTGCCAGCAGCCAGTGTGAGCAGCCGGCGGCCAGCAGCCAGCAAGAACTGCCATGAGCTGTGTGAGCCACTGTGAGCGCCCGTCCAATGGCTGGCGACCGACTGCCTCATCCAGGAAGAGTGCAATGATCATAATACCAACATGGGCCAGTGAAGCGATGTCCTCCACAACTAGACTGAAGAACAAAAGGACAGCAACTTGTCTGTTCCCCTTTCCCCAATTCCCCAACGCTGTTCTCCTCCCCCAATTCCCCAATAAAAAAATCTTAATAAATAAATAAATAAATAAATAAATAAATAAATAAATAAATAAAAATAAATAAAATAGGGTAATAGGATTGGGATGATGGAGAAAGGGGCTGCTACTTTAGAAATGGCGATGGAGATGGTATTTTAGCTGAGACCTAAAAAAGAACAAGAAACCAAAATTTGCATAAAAAGCAGACATAGCTGAGGAAACAACACATGCACAGCTCAAGGGTGAAATGAACTTGGTGTGCTAAGGAGGGCACAGCCAGCAGCACGGGGAGTGAAAGGGAGAGAGAAGGTAGTGTGAGAGCTGAGGCAACCCAGGATGTGAATTGATGAGGATAGGAATAGGAATAGAGAGCCTCATCCCAGGGGTACAACATTTCACACCTCATTTATTTTCTTTAAATCAAATAAAATCTGACTCTAAGCCTCAACCCATCCAATGTCTGCCATGAGAGAGGCTCTGTCACCTATCTTGCTTGGGTCTCACATTATCCTAGAGGCAAGTTTGGGGGCCCCTGAACAACGAGTGCTGAGTTGGGCTGCTAATATTAAGTTGAAACCTCTAGAAAAAGGCAACTGCAGGCTTGGGAGCCAGGCCTCCTTGTGAGCTTAGAGCTCTAGCTTCTTCTAGAGCAGCGGTTCTCAACCTTCCTAATACTGCGACCCCTTAATACAGTTCCTCATGTTGTGGTGACCCCCAACCATAAAATTATTTTCGTTGCTACTCTATCACTGTAATTTTGCTACTGTTATGAATCATAATGTAAATATCTTTGTTTTCCGATGGTCTTAGGCGACCCCTGTGAAAGGGTCGTTTGACCCCCCAAAGGGGTCGCGACCCACAGGTTGAGAACCGCTGTATTCTAGAGCATGCTGAGGTTTGGGGCAGTCCTCATAGTCTGGGAGACCCACACTTCTTCCCATCTGTCTTTTCTCTCAGGGCTCCAAAGCCCCTCTACCCCCACCCCCACCTCCATCCCAGTCAAATCCCCTGGAGCAGGTGAGGCTTCTGGAAAACAAAAGGCAGGTTGTCTGTGTTGCTTCTGCTTTCTACTGGGTAACTCAAATCCTCTGAGGCAAAGGAGCACCAAATCCATGTTATTTGCTCACAACTGGAACTAGGGTTGGGGCAGTAATTACCTGCACAGGCATTTTAGAACAATCACTGATGGAAGTTAGGAGGGCAGGAAACACAATCATTTTGCCCTAAAGATATTTCAGTGGTGATTATGTCTACCTTCAGTGGCTACCTTCAATTGAGGGAGGGAATTTCTGTGCTGGTGACTGGCAGGGTTTCTGCATTTTTCCAGGCTTCACTCCGAGTCACAGCACCAACATGGAGGAGCAGAATCTTTTTCTCTTTGCTTCTGCACTGAGAATTGCATCTCAAGAGACCTTGGAATTATTGCTGACTTCATCCTTCTAGCACAGACTTCAAAGTAAAAGAATGTGAAATGAATTTATTTATTATTGCTTAGGAAAAATCTAAAAGGTCTGAGTCATAACACCTAACACCCATAAGTTAAGGGTATATCTACAGACTTAGGAACTCAAAACATGCCAGGGGATGGGGCAGCCTGATGGGGCCAGCACACCTGGGTGGCTGCTGTCTGGTTCCTACTGACTTTTCAAGCTTAGAGATATTTCCTCTCTGCATCTCCAGATTGACTCTCTTGTCTCTCAGCTACACATGACTGATTACCATGGAACACCTTCAGCAAAAGAACAACTTTCCTAATCAAATGTATATCTTTCTTGAAACTAATTCTACACCCCTGAATTCCTCAGATCTGTCATTAAGTCACTCAGGCTGTAACCTGTCCTCTTGAATTTTCTGCTCTCTAGATCCCCTATCCATTAGGCTGTGAAAATGTAGACACTGTGAATTAATGTTGATTTTACCACAAGTGTACAGCCTATGGATCTCAATTCTAATAATATCATCTTGTGAGGATTATTGTGGAAAAGACATTTCTTTACCTTGGTCTTTCTCTAACTCCTTCTAACCATCACATAGTTCTTCTGAGGCTGGTTGGCATCACAAAACCAACAGAACAAGGAGAATGGTTAATTATTTCATTTTAAAGTTTCCTCCATATTGTAATAAAGCATATTTTGGAAAAGCAGAGAGCTAACTGCTACAAATCCTTTGTTTCAACAGAATTTGTAGGGACATCCAGAGAGAAAAGGACAGGCTTCGTCTGATCCCTTAAACAATAACTTCACTAGACAGAAATGTCAAACTTGCTGAGATGTTCTATGCTGAGGTTAACAAAACACATGACACACTCATTTTGATTTTTTATTAAAATATTTTTTTTGTTTATAGGGGCAACCAAAGAAAAAACCACATAATTTTATATGTTGTAGATCATGTAAAATACAATAAACATAGACTCATGGGAATGCAGAATAGATTAAAAAAATCTTCAAAAAAGCTTTCATAAAAACAACCTTTATATGTGGCTTATTTATATATTTACGTCATTTTTCAGACATTTTTGTGTCTTCTCCATTTTAATGCTACTGTGATTTTTAAATACGTAATTGTTCAAATATTCTAACATTTCAATTTTGTTTTCTGAAATCTTAGAAATCATATTTCTAAATGAAGGCCTTTTCTTTATAGCATTCTATGTAAATAAAGACTTATTTTATTTGAATTACCATTTGATTTGGTGCCACCATAGTTTCAGTAATAATTAAGATGGTAGGGAAAGAAAAACCTGCTAGCAAGGACATGTCTTACTACAGGAAAGAAGCTTTATGACTTTTATAACACCTACTAATTTAAAATTTAGTGTTTTTTTGAATCTAGTTATAAAAAAGGTAAGAACCTAATTTTTTATTTAAAAACATTATTTATTTATTTATTTATTTTAACCAGAGCTTCTATATAGAAGTGAATTGTGCTTAGAATGGTAACAGAAGGTCTAAATTTTAGTGGGGCTACTGGCTTCCCAAATGTTATACTTTTAACTAGGAAAAATATTGTTATTTAAAACCTGAAATGAACTTTTTCAGGTGAGCACTGCTTTCAACACCTTCATAAACCAGAAAATTAAGCAAAATTTGAATATAAAAGACCATTACATTTTGTGATAATTTCTATTGGGAATGCAGAAGTAAAAAAAAAAAAACAAACCAGTTAAAACATTATATGGTTCAAGCAGTTAGCCTCTTCATGTAGGGGACAGAAGAGATATTACATTTTAAAGAATAATGAAGGCCTAAGAAAGATGATAAATGCAATTTGTTGGTGTATTTAAGAAAACATTAAGCATGTGGTCAATAAACACAGAAGTATTCCTCTATTCATAGGTAAATATGAAATTACTTTGAAAAACTGCAAAGTTGAAATGAACCAGCTGGCTACAGATTCCTTTAAAACTTTCTGAAGTTCAAGAAAACCTTCCGTTTTATGGGTATTAATGAAGAAGGAGAGCTAAAGTGTTTTCAAGGCACTTTTAAACAGAGGCATTCTAGGTAAAAGTAAGAAAAGGATACCCTAATGTTTTCCTATTAAAAAAATATATCTATGAGCTAAGTTTCAACTTTTTAAAAAGCTAAATAAAGTACCTTGAATATTCATTAAGTTATCTGAAAGAACAAGAAAGGTATCAAGTCTTCAAATTTTACGATAATCATAATATTACATATGATCTTGTAACTAACTACTGTTTTGAAAGTGAATACAAAGTCTAAAAGCATTATCTATTTTTATGTACTAATTAATATATTTAGACATATAAAGAGAGGTACTCCTAAAAAGTTACATGTAATCAAATATGTCCTATTTGAGAAATCAATAATTTTGTAGAGTCTCTGTAATATAAATCTTTATGTGTTATATGCATGCTTGAAGATTGTGATTTTATTACTATGAAGGGCACACAGTATTGAAGCTTATCTTTATAGAACTATATAAATGCTGACAAAATATTCTGTAGTATATTTGAAGTTGACATCATCTTGAACAGAGATCTTTTTTTGGTTTCATAATTATTCATAAGTATGATTACACTTGTTTAATAAGAACATTTGATCCAGATGTAAACTTATAGGAAAGATTACAAAGTAACAAAATAATTAATGTAAATAGTTAAGTTTGTTTCCTATTAGAATCCCCAGAATTTTCAACCTTCCTAGTTCATATGGTAAATTCTCTTCTTTAGCCTCTGCTATCACTCATCCATGGGAGAATGTGGCTCTGTGTGCTGAGGCTGAGTGGGCTCATTCTTCACTGTCCAGTGAGCACATCCTCCCCTTTCAGCTTTCCCATTTTTGTACAAGGACAAGTTGTTTCCCTGCCGCACTACGTAGAGTCCGACTTGGCAGTCGTTTCCAAATCCTAGTGCTCTTTAAGCTGGTACCTTAAGTCAGAGAAATGCTTTACCTTCTTATTTACCCTAGCAGTGTATTTAATGCAGTCTCATCGCTCAAGAGTTTGAGCTCTGAGCAACAGCGGTTCGAGTCCAGCCCGAGCTGAGCAGCCGCTGAGCTGCCAACAGGTAGCAGGATGGCTCAGCTAAAAAAAAAAAAAAAAGTCTTAATGCAGTCTCATAGGTGTGTCCCAAAATTCTTGATAAAGATTCTTCATCACTAACCTACATCAGAACTTTGGGCAAGGGGATGGAAGAGAAGGAGAAACTTTCCCTAAAGCTTCGTCAGTATGTATATTGTAGGATGGATCCTACTAGGCAAAAATTTTAAATTGTAAAATACAGTAAGCATTTACTGTCCAAAATCACATAAAAAGGTTTGAAATTAAACTTTTTATGTGATTTTAATGAGTTCTCAGGGTGTTATATTTGAATATCTACTCTATAAAACAAATAAACAATACAAGGCACAGTGAAGAATAGCATACAACTATAAAAACTCAATGTCCTAGGAGGAGTACATGAAGAAATCATGACTTATGTTAATATACTCGAACACTTACAAAACAAAAGGTTTTCCGTTTGCTAGAAGAAAATGACATCAGGCTTTACATTACAAACCTCAGATCTTTCAAGGTAGTCTCTGTGCACATGCTTCTAATACAACCAAAATTGCACATGTATTTAGAAGAAAGGGCTTATTGCTAGCAGACCATAAAATCAGTAAGAGCAGTTATAATCATAATTTAACACACTGCTGAATTTGTCATATTTCAGAAGTAACTCAGTCCAAATTCTTTACATCCTCTTAACCTGTTAGCATTCTGATGATGCAAACAGTAAGCCTCAGTGAATAGCTTTTCATACCTTTCTTAGTGATTGAATTGCTTTGGTTTGCATTTCTTTTCCTTCTTTAAAACATACAGTTCATACATTTGACAGTTTTACTACCATAGTCGATACATTCTGGACCAATACACTCGCAGCAGGCGTTATGGAACCAGCGGTATTTGGATGCCCCCATGGACTCACAGGATATTTTACACTGATGTATGGACATGCAGTCATCAAAATAAACCACAGTACACATGTGTTCTGGAAAATAAAAAATTAAGATTCAGAGCAAAAAATAAGAAAAGCATGAAATGCTTTAATACCTAGCTGAATATGATTAACAGTTATATTAACACCTTAGATTTTTATGGCTAGTCTGCACTGGACAACGGATAAAGTATAGGAAAAGAGATCACATTTGTTAACTACATTCAAAAGGAAGCCAGAGTCTCCCACTCCAGCTGAAGAATGCAAAGGGCTTACTTAGTCACTTTATTAGATTTCAGATTTTGATATAAATGTTAAGATTAGTGGGCTTAACTACATTTGCTGTGCGTCAGAATCGTGCTTTTTAAACTGTACATTTCTGATAAGATTTCCTATGAGGAGAGGGTTCTCCAGCTAAAAGAAGTTTGAAAAAGACTGTTCTAAAGTCATACAGAGAATTTATAATAACATAAAACAAACTTAAGTCAAATGATGCTAAGTGCTTAGCAAAGCTTGGCACAATTCAGCATTAGCTATTTGGAAATACTCGTCTTATTAATAACAATTTCTAGTCCTGCTTTCTAAGGCAAACACTTTTGATTGTTTCAATTCTTAGTTCTCCTGGTGCTTAACCCCATATGACTACCCAGTTAGGAGGACAGGGTACATAAAATAAAGGACAATAAAAACCATTAATAGCAAGTATATGACTAAAGGTTAAGCTATTTTACAGAGCCATTTATAGAACTGATAAATCATCAGGGGTCTGAATAGTAAGGGAAGGCTTAATGAAAAAACTGGACTTGTATTAGGAAGAATTAGAAGCAAAGCTATCAGGTAACAACATAAGGAAAGTCACAAGGAGATGGGTGGAGTGTACACAGGAACAGAGCGGAGGCCAGTCTGACTGCTGTGGGCTTGGCATCAGAAGACAGGAGAACCACCACTGAGTATAGAAGATGGGATCTCGTTAAAGAGGGAAATCAAGGAGGCCAGCACAGTACCAGACCAGGGGGACTAGAGGGGTTAACAGTAAGCAGGATAAGGGAGCATTTAAATCTCCCAGTGGTTGGTATCTACCAAATTCACTTCATTATTTATTCAACTAGAATTTACTGAACACATACTAGGGAATATCCATTAGGGACTCAAAGAATAATCAGAGCATTCAAGGAACTAAGCAGAAAATGGTAGACCTATATGTTAAAAACAGACAACAAATTGAACTGTAAATGTGGGAGGAGTAGGAAGTGGTTAACTCTACCTGGGGGAAGAAGGGGCACCTAAGGAAGGTGTTACAGAGGAGAAACTTTAGCTTTGTCTTGAAGGCTATTTGGGGCTTCTAGGAATTAAATTCCTGCTTATTATTTCATGAATTTAAATAATCTTTGAGAAAAATTTATGAATTATTATTTAATATCTATGTTAATTATTTACATTATAATCATGGGGAAAATGGTAGCAAGACACAGTCCATTTATTATGATGTTTTCCAAGATGCAGAATTTGTTTTATAAAGTACTTTAACTTTAAAGGAAATAAGAATTCTTACTCTGAGTGCTTGCTTTGACAGAACATACACTAAAATTTGAACAATACGGAGAAGATGAGCATGGCCCCTGTACAGGGTGACATGCACATTCATGAAGCATTCCATGTTTTGTGCAGTGCCCCCGCCTCCTCATATCCCGGCTGATTAGCGCAGAAGAAATAATGAATGAAAACACAACATATGGTACTCAATAGCAAAATTGTGACTTTTCACTATAAAAATATTCGTGTAAGGCAATCTGAAGTGAAAACAAAGCTGAGTTACACCAGGATATTTATGTACAAATATGTCAACTTGCATTTCCTTCATAAACCTTAAAAGTTCTGAAATCAACTTATTTTAAGAAAAAGAATTCCTACTTTGAGGATGATTAAAAAAGCTGTTTTGTTTGCACTATTGATGGCTGAAGTTCATACTATCTTAGATACATAGGATTGTAATGGGGCCGGCCGAGTGGTGCGTTGGTTAAGAGCTGGCTTGGGACGCCAGAGGGCCCCCATTCGGATCCCACATATGAGGGCCAGTGACACTGCCCTCTACAGCTAAGATGCTGAACAACAGCTCAACCTGGAGCTGGGCTGCCTTGAATCGCCGGCGACAGCATAGGCTGCAGCCCCTGCTGCAGTGGGTTGCCATGGGCTACTGTGTGTAGCCAGCAGCCTCTGTGAGCGGCTGTTCAGAAGCCGGCGACTGATCTGCCTCACTCAGGAAGAGGGCAATGATGGTGCCAACTTGGGCCAGTGAAGCAACGTCCTCCACAACTAGACTGAAGAACAAAAGGACAGCAAGTTGTCTGTTCCCCTTCCCCCAATTCCCCAGCGCTGTTCCCATCCCCCAATTCCCCAATAAAAAAAAATCTTTAAAAAAAAAAAATGGGCACGTTGGTTAAGAGCTGGCTTGGGATTGTAATGGAGGGCAAAACAAACAAAAAACAAATTGAAAAAGAGTATAAATTATACTGTTTATGCATAATTCGTCTCATATTTTAACAACTGTAATTTTCATAATTGCCTTATTCTTCCACAGTAAAACTGTGTAGAGCCTTTTATTTGAAAATATCACAGATTTTATAAAAGTTACATGCCTTTTACATTCCAAAGTTAAGGTCTCACCTATCCTCACTAATAAATGTTCTTTAATATCTTCCTCAAAGTTGTGTAAGTCATCCTCTCATTTAGTTTCCCTTCTGATGAAGAGTACTCATTTGCAGAGAACTGGATGTGGTTAGTTTATACCTGTACATCAGATATCTGTAATACCATCTTACTCATAAAGAAATTTATGGCATCATTTGTGATATCATTGCTATTATAAAAACCTGACTTCCTAGAATACTTTGAATGTTACCTGACGGTGAGCAATACTGTATTAGGTAAGCAGCATTGCTGGTGTCTTATGAAAAGAACAATTAAAGTCTAACACAAATAAATATCAAAATTAGGACCATATATCTATCTTCCTATATAGCCTCTATCACTGAGTATGAAGGAGTTGTGACAACATGTTTGACATGTGACCTGATCTACTCAGGGATTCGGGTTATTAAAGTTCAGAATTTACTTTACAACCTCAAAACCAAAAAGCTGTTCTAAAAATGTAACCTTAATATAGGCTTCACAGACCACATAGAAAGTGAGGGAGCAGGACAGAAAAAGTCAACTGTTGGCAGTTACCTTTGTCACTGGAATAAGGTGCATGAACATTATTGCTGGGAACAGACACATTTTGGTGGTGTGGCTGGTTCACAGTCTCTAAAAATGAAACCAGATTCTCATGATGTGAAAGTTCTTCTGCAACAGGGAAGGAAACGATGTTCCAGTTCAACTGAGTGTCTCCTTCTGTGAGTGCCCGGAAGAGAGAAGGGATTGGCTCATGAAGCTCTTCCACTGTGCTCTTTGAAGTTGGAGGCGTGTCACTATAATTTCGAGGATTACACATGCCTAGGGGAGGGGGGCAAAGAGAATAAGTTTATTTTTCTCACTGATTGTAATGTCATGAGCTATTATTAGTTGTTATCCTTCAATCAAAGCTCCAACATATTAAAATTATGTGACATCTAGCATTATACGTAGATATTTTCCTAGCTTTTTTTGCTGAGAAGGTCTAGAAGTAATGATGCCTTAGTAGCATCAAGCACATTGAGTTGCCCAAGTCTTGTTTTCTAAATACCTATCCTTCACTAAGAGGAACTAGAGCTCCTTGAAGAAAAGACTGATTACAGGGCTGGGCCAAGGAAAGTACAAAATGATCCCTGGAATACCTTTTTGTGCCAGAAAGTAAGACATGATGGGACATGCTGAAAAAACACAGGCGACAACCTGAGCGGGCTCCCACTGGCCAAATCGACCTTTTTTTTTTTAAAGATTTTTTTAAATTGGGGAATTGGGGGAGGGGTACAGTGTTGGGGAATTGGGGAAGGGGAATAGCCAAGTTGTTGTCCTTCAATCTTAGCTGTGGAGGGCGCAGCAAGCTCAGCTCCAAGTCCAGTTGCCATTTGGCTGCTTGTTGGCAGCTCATAGCCACTCAGCTTAAGGTGCTGTGTTCAATCTTAGTTGCGGGTGGGAGTAGCCAGTATCCCATGCAGGAGTCGAACCAGCAGCCTTGTTGTTAAGAGCGCACGCTCTATCCACTGAGTCACCCGGGCGGCAGCTCAGCTCAAGGTGCCGAGTTCAGTTTTCAGTTGTGGGTGGGTGTAGCCCACCATTCCATGCAGGAGTCCAACAGGCAGCCTTGTTGTTAGGAGCATGTGCTCTCACCAGCTGAGCCATCCTGCCACCTATTGGCAGTTCAGCGGCAGCTCAGCTTGGGTACAGCTCACTGGCCAGTGTGGGAATCAAAATGGCGACCCCGTTGCTCAGAGCTTGCGCTCTTAACCAACTGAGCTGCTTGGCTGGCCCCAAATCAACATTTTTAGCATTTTATAATAAGGATAGTTATGGATTACTACCAGCTGAATAAAATAGAAACTGATGAGTCCTTATAGATAAATGAATTAGTACATGAAGGAGAATGGAAAGCTCTTCCTTTTACTAGAGTGCCAACTGATAAACATAGAAGGAATGAAGGAAATATAAAATCACCATTTGGCAACCATAATAGAGGTGCTTGGTTCAGATGGGAGTTGTCAATGGATGCTAAGGCTAATGGGTGGAGGTTTGATGAACATTTTGAGGTATTCTTTGACAACTCTCTACAAAATACTAGTCTATTACAAAGGGGTTAATGTAGAAAAATGTGGCAGAGAAAAATCTGACTAGGAGATCAAAGTTAACATCACCAATTATGAGAGTCTGATGCTGTGTATCCCCTGATATACTGCATAGTTTCATTTCAGTGATGTTGTTACCAAGAATGTGTGACTTAAGTATGGTCACTAGTCAACATCAGGTGGATCAACGTTGAGGGTCATCCTAAATAATGTAATGTCTGCACTCATTAAAACTGTCAAGAGAAAGACTAAGGGACTGTTTCAGATCGAATGAGTGTGAAGAGACAGGGCAACTAAATGGATAGGATCCTGGCCAGAAAGGAACAAGAGATACTGTTGAGACAGTTGCCAAAATATAAATGGAGTTTGTGGATTGGGTGGCAATGTTGAACCAATTTTGGCTTTCTGATTTGGAGGGTTGTATGCCAGTTATGTAGGAGAATGTCCTTGTTGGAAAATATAGGCTGTATTTTCATGTGTAAAGCCTGCTTTCTAAAGGTTCAAAGAGATGTATGATCACGGGGGAGGGGTGTGCCCATGTGTGAGCGTGTGTGTGTTTGTGTGTAGGGAGAGGGAGAGAGTAAGGGGTACTAAGTAATAGAGCAAATTTGTTAATGTTAATAACAGGAATCAGCATGAGGAGATACAGGAGCCTTTTAACCTTTCTGGCAAATTTCCTCTATATTTGAAATTATTTCAAAACGAATTCTTTTAAAAAATATTTTTAAAAAGAGAAAAAGGGCTGGTCGAGTGGCTCAGTTGGTTTGTGGCAAGGGCCCTAAACAAAGGCTTTCCTGGATCACATGGCCACCAAGACGTCTGTGTTTAACATTTCTAATTCCTACCTCACCTAGGAGCCAGTCAGAAACTAACACAATGCCACATTCCTAATAAGGAGTCCTAGCTGCTAACCCGGAAACCTCAGGGTATATAGTTCCGAGTCCTGTCCAGATCAGGGCTCAGCCTCTGGATATGAATCCACTGAGCCAGTGCTGGCATCAATAAATGTTGCTTCCTGCCCTGAGCCTTGGTGTCCTGTCTCTTTGTCTGGGTTCCCCGCAACATAATTGGGGGCTCGCCCGGGACGGAGACGGCGATATTTTTGCCTCCCTTGTCCCCAGAGCCTGGCTCCCCCGGATGAGAGGGGACGCACACTCTACTCGGCGCCAGGGGACTCTTGTGCGTCAGTGGGGATGTCTCCCCTGCTGGCCACGGGGGACCGACCCAGGAGCACAAAGGGACCCTGAGGGCTCTGGGAACCAACTTCAGAGCGCCGCCCGACAACGCAGGTAAGGACCCGGGTCACTTGGTAGCCTGTCCATCAGCGGACAGAAGGGGAGACTGATCACCTCCTGGAATCACCCGAGTATCTCAGTTTCTGACAGAAACCGTGACTCCTAGGAACAGGACGGCGGGCAGAGAATGAAAGTGTTTGAGTCTGTGTGAATGAGACGCAGCCTGCCTGAGAAGTGTGGAGTCCTGATCCATGGTTCTGTGGTGCACCTCATATGGCCTAGGGTGGTATCACTACATTGTCTCGTACAGTTTTGGGATCCAAGTTGAGGATTTGTATCAACCCACCAATGCTAGGAGGCATCTGAAAATCTCCGCGAGGGGAGCAGCCAGAGACGGAAGAAGCAAATCTCTGAGTGTGTGTCACACTGATTTTGGGTGGTTGCCATGGGTGGGCGACAGAGTACTCAGACTCCGTTAGGATGTATGTTAAAATTTTTTAAGAAGGGATTTTCGGGAGATTATGGCCTTGAGATGACCCTCCAAAACCTCCGTACCTTCTGTGAGATTGACTGGCCATCGTTCGGTGTCCAATGGCCAGCAGAGAGAAGCTTAGACAGAGACCTAATTAGGAAAGTTCACCTCGTTGTTACCGGCAGCCCTGGGCACCTGGATCAGTTCCCTTACATTGACTCATGGGAGGCTATTGCACGTACCCGACCCCCTTGGTTGAGGTCCCGTTTGGAAAACCAGTGCGAAATTCTTTTGGCACGAGCTATAATCCCCTCACGGAAGTCACTTAAGGGAAAAAACATGACAAAAGCCCGTTCTGTCTTCATACCCACAGGAGGTCCCGCCTCCTTATTCGCCAATTTATCCACGCCTTCCCCAAGGGGCGCCTCTAACCCAGCCTTCAGCGCCGCCCTTGCTGGCTCCATCTCCTCCACCCACCACACCAGCCTTGACTCCAGTACCGCCCTCGCTGTCTCCACTTCCTCCGCCCACTACGCCCTTCCCGGAGTTTTTTGACATGCCTCCACCGCCAGTCCTGACCCCCTAGGGGCCCAAAGATAAGCGGCTGCAGACCAAGGGCCCTGAGACTGGTGCTCTCCAGCTCTCCCTACGGGAAACCAGAGGCCCCATGTACTGTGATCAGGACAGCTAACATGGACAAGGCTACCACAGGGCTTTAAGAACTCCCCAACCATTTTCAGGGCCGGCTTGGCTTCGGACCTAAAGCCCTTCCCAGCCAGCCAAACCGGTTGTGTACTGCTCCAATATGTAGAGGACCTCTTACTAGCCGGGAAGAGCTACAATGACTGCATGCAGGGTACATATCACGTCCTTAAACTTTTGTGGGAAGCAGGCTACAAGATCTCCAAGAAAAAGGCTCAGATATGCCAAGACAGGGTCAAATACCTTGGTTTCCACCTGTCACAAGGACAACGCCAGCTCGGCCCAGAAAGGAAGCAGGTGGTATGTACCATCCCGGTCCCCACTACTCGGAAACAGGTTCGCGAATTCTTAGGGGCAGCAGGCTTCTGTAGGATCTGGATCCCCAACTTCTCTACTATGGCCAAACCCCTTTATGAAGCCACAAAGGGGGGGTGAACGGGAACCTTTTCTGTGGGAGTCTCCACAACAGAAAGCTTATAATGAGCTTAAACGGGCTCTCATTCATGCCCCTGGCCTAGGACTCCCGGACATCACCAAGCCTTTCTTCCTCTATGTACATGAATGCACAGTAACGGCAGTAGGGGTCCTTATCCAACTTCTAGGGGACTGGCACCGGCCTGTAGCCTACCTCTAAAAACAACTTGCCTCAGTGGCATTAGGATGGCCACCTTGCCTGAGGGCACTTGCAGCAATGGTTCTGTTCGTGTCTGAAGCTGACAAGCTGACCCTAGGTCAGGAATTAACTATCTGGGCTCCACATTCAGTCGAGCCCTGTTGTATCATAAAGGACATTATTGGTTTACCAACTCCAGGATTGCCAATTACCAAGGACTATTATTTGAAAACCCATGAGTCCGCCTTGAGGTGGTACGGACCTTGAACCTAGCCACTTTACTGCCTGTAGGGCCTGGGCCTCCAGACCATGACTGCATCGAAGTCATGGACGAAGTGTTCTCCAGTAGGCCAGACCTGACTGACCAACCTCTTACGGACCCCGATGTAGAATACTACACTGATGGTAGCAGCTACGTCCAGGGAAATAGACGGCTTGCTGGATACACTGTGGTAACTCTACACACCATCATTGAAGCAAAACCCCTCCCACAGGGGACCTCGGCACAAAAGGCAGAGCTCATTACCCTGACTCGGGCCCTTCAGCTGGCAGCTGGGGTAAGAGCCAATATTTATACTGACTCTTAAGTATGCCTTCACTACCCTCCATGTTCATGGGGCTTTATATAAAGAAAAGGGATTAATACATTCAGGAGGGAAGGAAATTAAATATGGACAAGAGATTTTAGATCTCCTAGAAGCAGTATGGGC